GGAATATCATTGCAGAATTTAACTTAAGGACAAAGATGACAATGAGTATTAATTCTTGTAGTCTCTCCTTTCTTAAGGTTGCTTGTTATATGTACAGTAGAACCTCAGAGTTACAAACACCTTGGGGCATGGAGGTTATTCAGAACTCTGAAATGTTTGTAACTATGAACATAATGTTATGGTGAGTCTTTCAAAAGTTCAACAAATGACCCTTGACTTAACACATCTTTGCAATTATTATGCAGAAGAAAAAAATATGTATATTAATTATCATAATTTAAATAAAATAAGCACAGAAACAATTTTCTAACCACGTTATTTTCTTTTAAACATTCCCTTTATTTTTTAATAATTTATGCTTAACACCATACTCTATTTCCTTTTTTGGGGGAGCTGACAAAGGTGGAAGGGCTTCTGATTCTGCCTGATTGCATGCTTCCAGTTCCAAATGAGGCATGTGGTTGACCGGTCAATTCTAAAGTCCAACATTCTACTGTAGTTTTAAATTATATACTAAAGTCTTCAGGTCAAACTCTATTCTTTACTACATTTGTATGCTGCCCAGCTGAAAGGGTCCACAAGTCCTGGCTGACAGCTCTGGGCACTATTGACTTCATATACCACATAGTTTTGGTCTAAGAATAAAAGTCTGTCAAAACTATTTTTACAACGTATCTTTCTACAGGAACATGATGCTTACAAATGTTTCTCTATATTGTGTTTGTTGAGTGATAAGTTTATCTTAAGCTATGCTCAGTCTCAATGAACATTGTGTATATAAAGCAAGCTAAAGTGATAAACTGGCAAAATTTAGTCAAGTACAGATGATATTAAAACGTATGTTTTTCCTCTCTTCCATCCTTTTCTGCTTTTAATTTTTTTGGGAACTAGTTAAGTGATTTTTATTCTCAAACTTATTATTTGATTATTAGCATTTTAATATAGTGTCTTAAATAGCCAATGTAAATGCCTCATCTAAATTTTAAAACTATGCAGTTTTTACAGCTATTAAATATGTCTACAAAATTACATTAAATTTCCCCAAAAGTTGCTCTTCCAATTGCAGAACAACTGTAAACTTTCTCATCTATAAAACTCTATAGGAATTTAATTTTTATTTTGACAAATCAAAACTCCAGTAAATTGTGAAAAAATACAAGTTGAATTTCTCTTGTCCGGGACTCTCTGGCCTGGCAACTAGGGATGTTAAAGGGTTAACTGAATAGTCAATTAGCCTCATGAATTCTTATCGGTTACTCAACTATGCTTTAGTCCCCAGGGTTGGGGCTGGCTACCTCCTAATACACTTTAAAGAGAAAAATACATGTGGTCTAAAGCATTAACTAATAAACTTTTGCTTAATGCTTAATCTGTTAATCAACTACACTATTACATGGGAAGGGGAAGGGGATAGGTTTAGAAGATAAAATAAAAAGAGAACAAGTTAAAAATCACTTAGAAAAGTTAGATGTCTTCAAGGAACCAGGGCCTGATGAAATGCACCCTAGAATACTCAAGGAGCTGATAGAGGAGGTATGTGAACCTTTAGCTATCATCTTTGGAAAATCATGGAAGACAGGAGAGATTCCAGGACACTGGAAAAGGGCAAATATAGTGCCCATCTATACAAAGGGAAATAAGAACAACCAAGGAAACTACAGACCAGTCAGTTTAACATCTGTGCCAGGAAAGATAATGGAGCAAGTAATTAAGAAAATCATCTGCAAACACTTGGAAGATAAGGTGACAGGGAACAGCCAGCATGGATTTGTAAAGTACAAATCATGTCAAACCAGTTTGATAGCTTTCTTTGATAGGATAACTAGTCTTGTGGATAAGGAAGAAGCGGTGGATATGGTATACCTAGACTTTAGTAAGGAATTTGATATGGTCTTGCATGATATTCTTATCAATAAACTAGGCAAATACAACTTAGATGGGGCTACTATAAGGTGAGTGCATAACTGGCTGGATAACTGTACTCAGAGAGTAGTTATTAACGGTTCACAATCCTGCTGGAAAGGAATAACAAGTGGGGTTCCACAGTGGTCTGTTTTGGGACTGGTTCTGTTCAATATCTTCATCAACTATTTAAATATCGGCATAGAGAGTATGCTTATTAAGTTTGCAGATGATATCAAATTGGGAGGGGTTGCAACTGCTTTGGAGGAAAGGGTCATAATTCAAAATGATCTGGACAAATTGGAGAAATGGTCTGAGGTAAACAGGATGAAAGTTAATAAGGACATATGCAAAGTATTCCACTTAGGAAGGAACAATCAGTTTTACACATACAGAACAGGAAGCGACTGTCTAGGAAGGAGTACAGCAGAAAAGGATCTAAGGGTCATAGTGGACCACAAGCTAAATATAAGTCAACAGTGTGACGCTTTTGCCAAAAAAGCAATCATGATTCTAGGATGCATTAACAGGTGTGTTGTGAGCAAGACACGAGAAGTCATTCTTCCACTCTACTCTGCACTGATTAGGCCTCAGTTGGAGTATTGTGTCCAGTTCTGGGCACCACATTTCAAGAACGAGGTGGAGAAATTGGAGAATGATTAAAGGTCTAGAAAACATGACCTATGAAGGAAGACTGAAAGAACTGGGCTTGTTTAGTTTGGAAACAAGAGGGGACATGACAGCAGTTTTCTGGTATCTGAAAGGGTATCACAAGGAGGAGGGAGAAAAATTGTTTTTCCTGGCCTCTGAGGATAGAACAAGCAGCAATGGGCTTAAACTGCAGCAAGGGAGGTTAAACACTGGAATAAATTGCTTAGGGAGGTTGAGGAATCTCCATCTTTGAAGATATTTAAGAGTAGGTTAGATGAATGTCTATCAGGGACCGTCTAGACAGTACTGCCCTACCATGAGGGCAGGGGCCTGGATTTGATGACCTCTCGAGGTCTCTTCCAGTCTTAGTATTCTATGATTCTATCCCTACTGACAACATCCAAGGTCTGGCAGCCTCTGGCCCAGGGAGTCCTGGGAGGCTGGTGGCAGGGAGCAAATCTGTCCTCCGATCAAACGCTGAATACATTAAATGTGAACACAATCTAAGTAAAGTCATTCACATGTTAAAAGGACACTGAAATACAGACATAGTTTTCAGGAACAAACATTCAGTAAAATTATTGACTATTTTGTATCAAATACAAGAAATACAGTATTTTCTAAGTTATCTTTACATTGTAGCACCAAATCTGCAATTTGATCTGCATAGGTGGAATCCAACCAAAATTAACTGAAGACCAACCATGCAGATCAGAACGTATATTTGCAAGGTATCTCTATTAAAATTCAGCCATTCAAAAATTGCAGGTTTTAATTCTAGTATCAGTGAATTAGAATGTTATAATTAATCCTTTTCTAATATTTTTCATCCTTATTTAACATACAAAAGATAAATAAACACTGGCAAAATTAAGCAAAATTTTGCCATGCTTTGAGAAATTAAAGCATCAAACACAACTTATTTTTATACATCACTTTACCACTAACAAAGCGCAGTGATTATATCAGTACAGTATCATAGCTTGATAATAAACTAACAGTCTTACTACATAAACTCATTTTAGTGTTGCATTTCTCAGGAAGATTTAAATTTCTACATTATTTTTCAAAACCTGTTGCAATACAGCTCAAGTCTCAACAACATAAAAGGAAGCACTGATCACGTGCTAACTATATCTTCAAGTTCCTACAATACCTTTCATATGTCAAATTATCTACCATAACTAATTCTCTATTACCACACCATTTCAAAAGCCCTTGAATGTAACATTAAAAGTTTAAATTTATTGTCTTAAAAGATTACATTTAGTGTGAAAATAAGCCAGATGTTATTTCAAGGAGTAAAATGTTCTCATTATCATATCTGGCATAGCTACAAACTCATTGAAAAGAAGATCACACCTTTAGAAAAATGGGTCAAAAAAGCACATTCTTTTATTTAGTGCCACAATTCTTCTGATTGCTCATTGAAAATGTAAAGATACTTAAATCTATTTTTTAATGAAATCATCACAGCTGCAAATACACAAAGCCGTGGCATGGCAGAATTCCAGAAATCATCTTTCAGAGAACTTGGAAGGAACCTGCAGCAGCTGACATAAAGCAGTGAATAGTTCTGCATAGAGCCTTTTTAAAAATTAATGTGTGGTTATTTATTTGGGGGGAATTTTTTGTTAGTTGTTTTTAAGAATCTCATATGCAAGGTATTTTACAATTTAAAAATAATCTCTTTAGGTTTGGACATATGCCCTTGTGGCACTATACTTTGACTCAGAGATCGGGGCTGAATTGCCACTTCTGGCACAGACTTCCTATGTGACCTTGGGTAAATCACTTACTCTTTGTGTCTCAATTCACTATATGTAAATTGAGGATAACAGACCTGCCTGCTTCACAAGTGTTCTGAGCATAAATTCATTAGTGTTTGTGAGGCATTCAAACAATCTATGGCAGCCAGTTCTGGCAACCACATTAAATAAACATGATTGCACCGTAACTCCCTTCTGACAAGAAAAAGTTACTCTCAAGAGGATCATGGGATGTGAAAGCCAGAGCCCCACTAACCTGGATAGTAGGGGGATCGAACCAAAGCCTTAGGGCTTCAGCACGTAACCTAAGCCCCATTGCCCAGGGCTGAAGCTCTCAGAAATCTGCTTCAGCCCCAAGCAATGTGGCTCAAGCATTAGCTTGGGCCCTGGGCCACAGCAAGTCTAATGCCAGCCCCGATGACCATTTTAAAACATGTTTACAATCCACTCCGGGAGCCTGATTCACAAGTTGTGAATCACTGATCTATGGGGTTGGAGGTCATACAAGGTCCATGCAAGAGGCACCACCCTGATATAGGACCATGTTTTTCTTTCATAGAATTGTAACA